CTATTATTATTATTAAAAATACGGTACTTTGTATTATAAAATGTATTAAATAAAACAAACAAAAATAAGAGTAATCAAGTTAAGACAGTTCATAGTATTTTAAATAATAAACAAAAATAAATAGAAATTATAACATTTAAAAAAATACGGACAAAAAACAGTGTCGTAGCCAAATTGTAAAACCCGTCGTTTTATAAAATGTCTAGACATTTTACAAAAGGCGGCCAGATTGTCAAATTTTTGTTTAACATTCATATTATTTTCTGATCTATCTAGTGGGATTGTAAACTGCATAAGTGTTTTATAAAATGACGGTCAACAGGCGGCCAGATTGTCAAATGTTTAAAATTATATTCTACTTGACATTCTGGCGGCTAAAATGTTTTAGTCGTTTTATAAAATACGAATTTTACTTTAAAATTAGGGTCATCAAATTTTTTATTTATGGATTTAATAGAATTAAAACATAATGAATATTTTACATATTTTTTTAATTAACAGAACAAATTAAACTGTAGAATAAATAAAACTGAAGAACAAATGAACATAAGATAAAACACTTGCTAAGCATATTGTGTTTTAATCAAAATATAATTTCTATAGATAATTATTATTGATGGAGAAATACGGTTTTGCTGGGTTGCCTATCAAAATATGGCTTTTTAATATTACTTAAAAGTTTATTTTCATTACTGTGTTATTTATGATCATATATAATAGAAGAAAATTCTTTAACCAGAGTTGTTCTCTAGAATTTTGGTCAAATACATGATTTTTTTTTTAAACACATGGACCGTAATGGAGAAATTTGAGAAAATATGCGAAATTTGATTTTTTTTGGCAATGAAGTTATGAAATAATATTTTTAATAATTTTTATCTATAATTCGTAACCAAAACCTGAAGGACCCAACTCAATATTTACTTCACAGAAAAATTATTTATATGACCAAAAGTATAGAGCAGTGGTCGCCAACCTGTCGATCGCGAGCTACCGGTAGCTCGCGGAGGCAATTCTGGTAGCTCTCACAACGATTTTAATTTAAAAAATACAAACTGCAAAAATCAGAGAAGCTTCCGAAAATTCCACAAAAAATCTAATTGTCATAATATTAAACATAAACAGCGGCAACGTTGCGGTGTAAGACTAGCCGGACCAGCGCGTTAGTGTTCGAGAACGATCAGGATTGCTTTGAACGGGATAAATACGCACGGCGCGGCGACATTGCGCTTAGTTTAAAACTGAACGCGTAACCAACGTCCAGTTTAAATAAATTAGAGTTTCGTCACAGTATGCATATTGATTGCAGAAAAACCTCTCGAAAGTCTAGAGTTCAAGTTCGCTGGAGTGGGAGGAATATGATGTATGAATATAAATAATTACAATTGCATCGCTGCCTTTGATAGATAGAATCTAGATAATTAGCTATAGCGTTGTATGAAGATAATATAGTAGGATAATGCAACAGTAAAAAGTGTTGGATGCAATCTCGAACGGCATCTAGTGACGATTTAATGAAGTAGTCAATTTTTAATGCTATGCAGATACGCCATCTACGTCTTCTTTTCGTTCAGGCACATGGCCTCTATCACCTACCTATTATAGTTAAAAACATCTTTATTTATTTAAAAATAACAATTTATGATAAAAGACATGAAAAATTAAACATAATAATGAAATTTATTCCAGTTGACAAAACCGTACGAATAAAATTTTTGGATTAAGGTGATAAAAAGTGGTTAAGGACTTTGGTCAATATTTTGGTTATGTGCGGTTATGTCAAAATATATAAACAATAACAAAGAATACCTAATAACAACTTATAACAATGTCCAATGTTTTAAATAAATTGAAAAGTTCCAAGTAGAAAACAAAAAAGGAATAAGCTTCTGAAAATGTTGCATGTAATCTAAGTACCTCTAATTGGACTAAGTGTTGGAAAATTTTATAACCATAAAAATAGCTGAATATTTTTATAGTTTTCAAAATTTGAACAAGCTTCGCTACAAAATTTCAGCAAAGCTATCAACAGTTTGCAAGATATTGAGGTAAGGAACAAGAAAATCACACTAATCAGGGAAAAATCAATCAACACTGGAAAACAAATTAAAAAAAAATAGTTACAGGGATATATTAGCGACTTTCAAATGTATCTTGGCTGTTGATCATGAATATAAGAAAAAAATGTTCTCTCGGCTGGCTCTGAGTGTTGAAATAAATCACCTTGAAAGGAAGTTTTCAATAGCTCCACTCTTTAGGAATAGCTCAAGACGAAATGAATAGACCTACAAGTGGTCTATCTGTGGCAGACATATTCAGTTAGTCTTTATATTTCATTATGCAATGTTACAAGGTTCAGCAACTTGCCAAAATGGTTAAAATTTATTTCCAAAATCAGTGCTCTTATTTAGTACAGAATTCTATGAACGACACAATAATTATAAAGTCCTAACTTTGAACATAAAAGATAATCTTATAAAAAAAACATTTTTTTTATATAATTTATCTCTGTTTGGAAAAGTATATTTGTTTGTAAAATATTTGTATTTACAGTTATATTTAATCCAGGTTAAGTGTCAGTGCGCGAGTATAATGTTAAGTATGAACAAAATCCGCCCATTCTGTTTATATGTTTGGTTACCGACCCTAGTAGATAGGCTATTTGTTATTACTTTTAATTTAGATTTTGGATTAACGTTTTTGTATATGACTTGGCTGTTTAGTAATAAATGAAGTCAAAACTGTAACACGTGGTTTTATTCTGGAAAGTATTTTTAAATTGAATCACGCACGCCGTTCGAGTGAAAATGTTTTAAGTAGTTCAAAACAACAATCACTCTTTTTCATTGTTTATAGAATACAGCCTTTCAGTTAGCTCAGACAAAACTGATTAAATAAATAAATTAATGTCTTATTATTTTTTGAATTTTTTTTTATTTTGACTGGTTGACTATCTCAAAAATTAAAGCCAATCAAGCAAAACGTGAGTCACATTTCGCTTTTTTAGAAGAACAATAATGCAAGTGAAAATTAATGATACCACAGAAATAGCAAATTAAAGAAAATGTAATATAAAACTTACAACTAAGACGTTAAAGAAAAGTTTGGAAATAATCGATGGGGACTTCGAGATAGCAAATTTATTTTAGTTTTAGACAGAACTACTTTATTTTATTCGTTTTGAAACAATTGAAGATTTATAGGCCGGAAAAGCGATTTTAAACTGAATATTCAGTCCAATAGGCTCTCGACTGAAATCCTTTCCATTTTTAGAATATTATCTTTCAAATTCAACAATTTTATGTTTTGTTCCAACACGGATTTTAATAATAGATTTATAAATTGTTTTTGTTTATTTGAATGTTAAAAGTTCTTAAAACTAACTTTAACATATATTTCCCATGCTGGCCCTTAGTATTAAAATAATGAGACGATTAAACGAAAAAGGCTTACGAGAGCCAGTTGCCCTCTTTTGGTACACATTTGTACAAGGCAACTTTACAAATGTTTCCTCCTTTTTTCTCTTGTAGAAGATGGACACGCAGTGGAGCGCACAATGATAGTATTTTAAAAAGCCACGTCACATATTTGATTAGATAATTAACTTGATATAAGTGCCTTCAAGACTTAAGTCGTTAAGCATTCAAGTTTGGATTTCCCAACCCAGATTCAATTACATATAAAAACATTCTTTCTTATTTTGGAAAAAATATGAAAAATGTAATTAATGCAATCTTTCTGCTAAATGTTGTAGTATTTTGATAACAGTTCAGAAAAAAATAGTAGTAGTCAGTAACTGATCTTTACGAAACCCAAAGTTGAGCACTTAACGTCCTGAGCAATGAAAGTTTATGTCATTGTTAATTATCTAATCAAATATGTAACATTCGCATTTTCTATAATTTATTTTTTAAGACGCCTTCGTTGAGAGCTTCATCATTGTAGGACATGCAGCAGATATGCAGCAAAGTATTTCCATGTACAAAAAAAAAAACAATAAAAAATTTTTAATTTTGCCTTTCGAAAATAATACTCCTAAATGTGCCTACCACAAATTGGTACTCGATTCGTTTTCAAATGGTGTCAAAAGTTGATAACTGAAAATTAGTGGCTTACATGTTTTTATTACTTAGTATAATTTTACTAAATGTGTTTGGTATTACGTTATAAGTTTACCTAACAGCAAAAAAATCTGTTAGTTAAATTTTGTCAGTGCCGATTTTAGTAAAATTATATTGAATAAAATTATAACTACCTATATATTTACCCATTATTACTTTTTTAATTTTCAACTTAACATCCTGTATTTCAGAACATTTTATCCAAACAATTTTTATTTTCGTCTATTCGTCTCATTTTGAACAATAATATTCAGTTGTTCATGTCCCATTCTTAATTTGATGATACCATTAAATAAAAGTGAATATAAATTAACAGCGTACAACTCAAGTTTAATTAACCATCAGCGATATATCCAAAATCCAACCACAATATAGAAAAAAAATGTTCCCTATTATAGTATAATTCCACCCAATCTCAACTTATTCAATCTTTTTCAAACAAAAACTGGTTTATTTTATTATATCGATTATTTTCGCATTTTATGTGACCTTCAAATACCCTGTATTCTGTGCTTTTGTAATAATTTGAAATAGTAAATTGTAACTATAAAAATACATTACCGAAGACAAGTAGAAATGAAAAAGAAGATTTTAAATTATAATTCATACTCAAGCACAGACATGACCTAAAGACCTGACTTGGACATAAGTACAGTATCGCCATCTACATTCTATGTCCATCGTCCTCCAATGATAAGTCCATGAGGTTACCCTACTATATTTCTTCATACAACGGCTATAGGCTATAAGGTTAAACAATTTTATAGTTTTATTTCCAATAGTTTAATATGATTTCGTAGGAATTTAATTTGACTATTTTTTTTTATAAAATTACTTATAAATAGCAGTTTTTATAGTTTTTTTATTAATTTGTTATAGTGGGAATACCAAGTAGGACCATGTGAAGGCATCGCGATAGGCGATCAATTATGGATGTCTAGGTATATATTACATAGGGTGGCAGAAGATTATGGTGTTATAGTGACATTCGATCCAAAACCAATGGAAGGTGACTGGAACGGAGCCGGTGCCCACACCAATTTCTCAACGAAAGCTATGAGGGAAGAGAATGGCATTGTGTGAGTAGTATATTAATTTTTTTCCACGCCCATGTCAGTAAACGTTAAAAATCGCACTGTCAACATTTCTTGTAAATGACATTTAACAATAACATGCACGTAATGAGATATCTCATAACATACACGTGAGTTTTGATAAGAAATTTTAAATTTCGTAGTGTAATCAAATTGTAATCAAATTTGTATCTACGTACGAGTTAATTTAGTCTATTTACATAAATTTAGTCAATTGAAAAAGATAAAAACTTTTAGCACTAGCGAGATATATTGAATTAAAAAAGTGATGCCCCTAAATGTCGGCAACACATTATGCAATTTATAGATTGGCGATACAAGCATAATATGTCCTTTATTCAATAAAAGTAAATAAGTGGGCGTAGAGAGAAAGTATAGTACAGTACACGAGTTGTAAGCCCATTACGCACTCGTAAATCTTTTTCACTTCGTGCGTAATATACTATTAAATATCTAAAAATGTAAAAATATAAGTAGTATATTTTAAATAAATGATGCTTGTTATTAAAACTAGTTAAAATATTATTAATTTCACCTTGTAAATTTTAGAAACAAATAATATGCAGAAGTACTTATATTAATGCAGTAATGTCCGATTTAAAATTTATGTATTTATGTTGATATTTACTTTTTACCATATAAACGCTGAGAAATAAACAAGCATTGTTGATTTCTGGCTGACAGTAAAGGGTTTATATCACAATATATCCCCTGTAGTAGTGCATATCACTTGTTAAAGAGTTGGCACTAAGTTTGCAGCGCAAAAATGCGTATGTGTCTGGCCGCTCAACTAACTCGATATGGCGGTAAATTCAAATATAATTTTAAGGCGAAATTTAAATTTCCCGCCAAAATCGTAAATTTCCAGCAGCGAAATAGCGGGAATTTTTAAATATATTCATTCGGCAATAACTGACAAGTATATTGCATGTTCGATTAAACGATCTGTAAATCCAGGCGCTTTTTTTATTTTGATAGCTAAAAATAATACTAATTCTTTTATTGTTAGCTAATACAATAAGAGCAGCATTTGGATTAACAACACATTTAAATGAATATGTAATATACTTTTCAATTTTACCTGAATCACTTATTTTTTACCTATAGAGGTTAGATCTGAAAAAAAAATTGGCTCTGGTAAAAAAAAACAAAAAATTGTATAAAGTATTTTATTTGAAAAATTATAAAACTTATTTAATTTATTTTAAAGTCGAGGATAACTCTAGCCATATCCATTTTACTGAAAAAAAAAAAAGAAACTATTAAATGAAATCATTTAGTTATTAAGAGATGTTTGTGATACAGTGATACCTATCGAATGTTGTACAATACGTTTTGCTAATGTTCTAGTAAAAACTACAAAGAGTTAGGATTAGTGGGAGAAGGAATAGAATACTATGAACGTAGCCAGCCGGCTAAGTTAAGAGGGTAGGTAATAACTGAAAAAATATGAAATTTTTTTACAAACTTACCTCAAAATTGGCACCTACATTAAAAGAAGGGAAAACGGAAACATAAAAATGTTATACTTGAATTTTAAAGGCTTTTCACACTGGAAATATATTATCTAGGGCGGAGACCCTTGGATGACAGCCATAGCAATTCCTCCTTGATTCCTCTTTTTCTGAGTTTGTTGTACGTTTTGTTTCCCATATTAAATAAGAAAGCACTTAATACAACAACACAAATCGCAATAAATATCGCTGAAACAAAATTAATATTAAATTTCGTAAAAGAAAAAATCAAAAAATTATCACTTGTCAATACTGATACTTCATGCTTCGCTTGTCAAAAACTTCCTCTTCAACCAATGAACGTGCCGATGTTCGACGTGTCAAAACTCAAAACGATACTAGCGCCATGAGACCTGTGTCTGGCCGCAGCGTAACTCAAAGCCATTTCTTGAATCCCAGTAACATTACTATAGGGGATATATTGTGGTTTATATAGTCAAAAATGTAGAAAATTAATAGGGTAATGGCACACACGAGTTGAGACCAAAGTATCGATAAAGTAATTAATAAGAAATTGAGAAGTACCTAACTAATCAAGCAATGATAAGGTGGCCACTTTCTAGAAAGTAAATGTCATGGATTGGTCATGTAAAGTCAGAGATTTTTATTTTTAACCGACTTCAAAAAAGGAGGAGGTTCTCAATCCGTCGCAATATTTTTTTTATGTATGTTCAGCGATAATTCTTTAACATGGTGACCGATTTTAATTTTTTTTTTGTTAGAAAGGGGGTACTTCAGGAATGGTCCCATATAAATTTGGTCAAAACTTAATAATTAGGTCTATGAGAAAATCCTCAAACTCTTTATTTTTTATGTATGTTTAGCGATAATGCTTTACGACTTTGTCCGATTTATATGATTCTTTTTTGTTAGTAAGCGGGTACCTCAGGGGTGGTCCCATATAAATTTGGCCTCTGCATGTTTTTTAAGTCGGTTTTTTAAATTTTTAATTTCTAATACTTGTATTTAATCCAAAATATAATTGGACATACCTGATGATGTTTACTGATTTTATACTCAACACAAAAGCATCAGGAAAATTCTGTCTAAATTAGTTATTATAAACCTTAAAAGTCGCAGAATTTAAAAATTAACATTTGGTTTGCACCATTTTAAATAAAAAAGTATGGAGCCCTTTGTTAAGAGGAAGGAAATTAATGGTGTTAGAGATACTTATACACACACGTTATGCTAAACAAATGCTTTTCAGCATCCCAAATTTTTACCTCTTATATAATCACGTTTTTTCAATTCATGTACTTTTCCATTGTTTCTAGTTGCAAGTTGTGTAATTTTTTACTTATTGTTCTATTTAAACGATTATTGTTACTATTATTGCTTTGTTCTCTTATCAGAGAGTATTGAAAGAGATCTTTGAACTCAATAAATGCTTTTTAAGTTTATTGTTATTAATAGATTGCGGTTTGTTTGTGATAATCGTTAAATCGTTGTTCTATATTAGCATTAAATTAACAGACTTAATGTTCTTTATATGAATTTTATTTCATGTCTTTCGTTTTCATTTCGATGTTGAAAAACTCTAGCCAGCTCTACAGATAGGCTTTATTTAAATAGGTTCGTCCACTTGTATCTACTGGGAGTCAAGATTGTATGGTTCCGATGTATAGCTTACTCAGTTTCTTCTTTTTAATCTCCTCCAGTTCTTCATACTACTTGTAAATATAGCAGAAGGTGTTTTTTAAGAATGATAGGACTTTAAATTTAAAAAAAAATAATATAGAAAATATTTTGCGATTAAAAAAGTAATATTATTTTAAAAAATAATCTATAACATAAACATTTAAAAATTATTTGCGTATGTGGCCACTGCAGCTGTCCATAAGATAGCGTATTCTTTTGGTCAAATAACGAAAACGGTTCCAACCGTTACAAATACCTGAACTGTTGTTTATCTTATGTAAGAGTTTGAACATGTACTGTGAAATACATTTCCCTATTTTGTTGGAAAAAATATAAACTTGGCAACATTTCCACACTGGAAGCCGAACGCGGCCCAGGACAAAACAAGTTAGGTTATGTTCAGTTATCAGTTTGTTTCAACTTTCCGATTAAATTAATAATTTTATCAGATCATAAGTTAATACCACGTTTATATGGTCTTCTAAAAATACATAAATCAGATGATTTTAAAGATATGCCCATACGTCCAGTAGTATCATTCGTGAATTCACCAACTTACCTCACAGCTAAATGGCTTAATGATTCACTCAAAGGTTATTATAAAGATCATTTTACACACACAGTAAAAAATAGCCTAGTGTTAATAGATAATATCAAGGATACTCATATCAACGAGACCGATATGCTAATCTCATTAGATGTGTCGAACCTTTTTACTAACATCCCTATTCCAGAAGTCTTGTCTTTGATTAATTCTTTTTTGTCAAATTCTACTTTATCAGATTTAGAACTAATTGAATTCACCAATCTACTTAAAATTTGCTTAGATCAAAATTTCTTTGTGTTCAATGGAGAAATTTTTTCACAAAAAACTGGTTTAGCTATGGGTTCCCGTTTGAGTCCCATATTGGCAGACATATTTATGCATAACTTTGAAAAAGACAATATCTTAGATAACAATAATTTTTGCCAATCAATCAAATTTTACTATAGATTTGTGGATGATATTCTAATACTATGGACTGGTAGCAAAGACTCATTGTATGATTTCTTGTCTCATGTTAACTCTCTACATACCAACATTAAGTTTACTTTAGAAACCGAAGTAGATAAATATATAAACTTTTTAGATTTAAAAATATCCCATAACAATGACTCTAAATTAAGTTTTGATATCTATAGAAAACCCACTCATACAGGAGTAGTAATAGATAATTTGTCTAATCACCCCATCTCGCATAAATTAGCTTCCTTTAATTGTTATTTAGAACGTCTATTACGAGTACCTTTATCCATTGAAAACTACAATAGAGAACTTAACACAATAAAAAACATAGCTCATCTACACAATTATGATCACAGTTTAATCGATAAAATGTTGAGTAAAAAACAAAATAGAATTATTCAAAATACAACATTTATAACTAACCCTATACCTGTAGAGGCTAGCATTAGTAAGTATATTTCACTTACCTATATTGGAAATATTTCTTATAAAGTCTCCAATATCCTCAAAAATCACTTCAAAATTTCTTTTAAATCCTCCAACTCAATTAGTAACTTTTTCATCAAGAATAAAGATAAAGTGGACATCATGGATCAACCAGGCATATATGAACTCAGTTGTAAGTCTTGCCCAGCCAAATATGTAGGTAGAACCTTTCGTAATTTTAGGACTAGACTTAAAGAACATTTAAGATGTTTGAATACTGCCACAACCGGCTTCTCCCATTTTGCCACCCATCTAGTAGAGTGCAATCACGATTTTGACTCAGGGGATGGCTTTAGGGTACTCCACATTTGCCACAACAAGTTGATATTGAATAATTT